TTTGGAACCTGGTTAGGAACCTAACTAGGAACCCGATCAGGAGCTAGGTTAAGGTTCAGCTCGAAATTTTGACATTGTTGTAGCCACTACTACTGTGTTCACTGGTTCTGTTAGTGAGTCTATTGTTGTTGTTGTTATTGTTGTTGCTCCCCAATTAGGGTGGCAAACCTATCTTCACGAGCCCTCATTTGATTGCTCATCCCTCAGACACATTGCACCAAGTCATAGAACTAGTGCACATCAACTCCAGCAAGAGCCACGGAGGGCTTGACCACTGGAGGAGGCGCATTCATCTGAAGTGGTGGATAGGTCGGGTTTAGGGTAAGAGGGATGCCTGGTGGAGTCAAGATACGTTAATTTGTCCAATTGTCACTGAAGGAACTTATGGGATTAGTCCGAGTTGGTCGTGTCCTCCGGTGACCATATTGTTGTTATTGTGTTGGTTAATTGGTTGCTTGAAGAAGCCATGGATGTTGTTAAAAAGTGTTGAGTGGTGAGAACTTAGCCTTTTGTAGTGACTCCCACAGATGGCGCCAATTGATGGTGTGCGATCTGGTGCTCGCACTTGGCAGGTGACTCGGATGCCGAACTAGAATTTTCCTCTGTTGATGGCCGAGCTAGGTCTAGCCAAGTTGTATAGTTTTGCAAGAGAGAGAGTTAGAGTGCCTAAGTTGCTTTTACCTAGGGTGGGCACTCCTATGCTTAAATTAGCGAAGAGTTCTTTGAGATGCTTAAAAGATTAGAGAGTGCGGGAGCTTAATTGTGCATACCTTCTCTGAGTGGAATTGTGGTTTTATATAGGTGTGAGTGATTAGAGACCTTCTGTAACGGGTCCCAGATTCTCATAGAATCGTTTTCATTAAGTTGGGAGAGAGTAATGACGTCGGTTATGTAATCTATGCAAAGGGCTAAAGTCTGTCCGATTGACTCTGACACGCATGATGCAGGTAGGCCGACCTAATGGTCAACTCATTAATATTCCAGAGAACTCGATTTGTCAACGAATCTATGTGATAAGTTAGCGAGCATGCATTGTAGGTCACCGATAGTACCTTTGTTGGCTCGGTCAGTCCCTGAGGTAGGTCGCTCCTTGCTCGGAGGTCCTTTAGGTCGGCCAAACCAAGGTACCTTAGGTCAACCCTATCGAGGTGCTACAAGCCGATTTGCCGAGGTGATCTACTTGCTCAACACCGAGATATCACTTGGAAGCCACGTATCGTGATATAATTTGGAAGCCTCATCACTTCTAAATCTTAAATTCTTGATATGTGTAAGTTTTTTCTTTGTAAACATTGACAAGTAATGCGATATGCGGTTGAAGTTACCAAATGTTCTTCATCCATTGGAAGAGAGGCAGATCCATTCACCATTCACCATTTCTATTGCACGATACATTCTTTTTTTTTCCCTTTTGAAAAAAATTGCAGGATCCATTGACCATTCAGTGCTGCTGGGACCCAATAAAAAAATGATTGATTTGTTGGGATGACTTATCATGGATCACGGATATCTATACTAATCACTGTTATTTATAAATTATCTTTATTTGATTGCTTTGGTTGTTTTTAATTTATATATTTGTCGCTATTTTCATGTGAGCTGGTTGATGTTGATTGAACTCTCAATGCTATCCAACGTATTTAATCATTTTTTTGTTGGTTACTTTCTTTTTTGTTCTTTAATAATTAATATAATTCAGTTGATAAAAATTATTCTGTGCCTTTTCTGTAGTAATTTAATTCAACGAATTCAATTTGGTAGCAATGGATTTATTGAACGAATCTAGATTAACTATTCTATTAAAATAATTAATAGAGTTCAAATGGCTTAAAAAAGATAATGATGCTTCTTTCTTAAAATTTGAGGATTGATATTTCCCTTGTACTAAAAAAAGGGGTAAATTGCATATTATCAATGTATACTTTAGGAATAGTTTCATGAACTTTCGTTTACGACAAGAGCCCTTGGACTTTCAGAATTTAGCACTTTGTCCCCTTTTCTATTGATTGAATTGATGAAATAATTAATTTATTAAAATGCGCTTTTAAGTTTTGTATATGTGAAAGGATGACATTTTGAAATGATAAAAATGGACAAGGCAAAGCAAGTTATTTCTTTATGCATAGCCGACTTTGTCCAATAAATTAAGGGTGGTTTTGGGATTTAGAAATATTAAACAATCACATATCATTATTGAAATAGAAATCTATTTTTATGCAAATATATAGAGTGTAAAACCTTGTATTTTGTATGCAAATATATCGACTTTGTTTCATGTGGATAAGTTGAGATTTCCACAAAAAATTGGTTCTGATGTACATTGAAAACATCTCTCCATGAATATAAACATCCAATTACAAAGATGTTATCATATGCCACTGTGAGGGCAGTGTGGTGGGTGTGAGGACCAAATTTTGTGAGGAGGAAAGTCCAGTTCTATATGGACATATTAGCTATTGAAACGAATATACTGACAAATATCAGGTTCCGCTATATCAGAAGGCAGGCTTTTATTAAGAAGAAGAAGAAAATTCTAGAGCCCCATACCTTGAAACAGTAAAAGAAAACTGAAAAAAGTAGTACTAATTAATTAAATAAGGAACTTATAATTGATCATCAAAGCATTCAAAATATACATTGACGTGAAGCAAAAGCATGGAGCCAAAGTGATTTGTTGAAAGCTCTATAAAGTTTTTGAGAACATTATAATTGAGATAGATCAAAAGGCCATCTTCGGTTGTATGAGGCATGCATCCCATTCCTATATATGCCGCCATAGCCCATATGTGTGGGTTTCTTGAGGGTCAACCCCCCAATCAAACCTACTGTTAAGTGTGATTGTACAATCACCAATATATGAAGAGTTGGAATCTAAGAGTGGCCAAACCTGCAATTGTTCCATTTTTAAACATATATTCTTCCTTTTTTTAATGATCTATAACCTGCTGCTAAGAGTGGCCAAACCTACTGTTACCATTATGGGTGCAAGTTGAACGGGTTCGGGTTGTGCTTTTCTCAAAATTTAAATGGATCCAATCAAAAGCCCGAACCTAAAACAGTATAAAATGAAGAAAGAAACAAGGAAAGAAAAATTGATTCAAAAGAGCTTACTTTCACTCGGACATTTCCACACATGTTGCTTCGTTCAAATCAATTACATAAGAGGCGGCAATTTTTTCCATCCCCGATGGGGACTAGACTTCTCCAACCCGATGGGGTCAGGGATTGGGATTGAGGTCCTTGCCCCACCTCGACCCTTATTATATATATATATATATATTAAATGTAATTTATAGTAAATATATATTATTTATATATATCAAAATATATTTAAAACATTATTTATAATTTACAATTTTTATTTACTTAAGTAAATTTCTTTTTCAAAAAAATATTATTATCTAAAAAAATTTCGGGGATTCGGGTTCTCGCAAGGAACCCATCCCCATCGAAGATCAGGGATGGAGGACAAATTTTATCTCAGCAAGGATCAAGAACAGAAATGGGATTAATTTCAGAATCGGGGGCAGGGACGGGGAATATGATCCCCACACCGTTGCCATTCTTAAACTACAAAATCCCCACATGGATGAGTGGTCTTAATCAAGGTTCTAAATATCGATATGCCCGATACACTGATAGGAGCATATCGGGCGATATCAATAGTATTTTTTTACTTTTTTTTATTTTTTTTTAAAACTAGTCCAGAGAGGCCAATTTAAGGCTCCTCCACACCCTGAACCAGTCAAAACTCTGATGCACCCTCTATAGGGACATATTAAGGAGCTCCAAAAACAATACATATCAGCCGATCCGGGCGAATACATGTTGTTACTTTGAACCTTTGTCTTAACTAAACTTAACTGAGAACAAAAATACAGAATTCTCATCACAATTGTAAGGGATGAAAACCACTATATGTATACGCATGTAGTATTAAAAGGGGATCCCCTCCCCTCCTCCAACGATGATCAATCAAGGTCTGGCCTAGTACTATTATTATTGCACGCTCACTAACAGGAAAAAAAAGGAAGCTGAGGTGTTTCATTCCCAAAATCCCCTCCCCTCCTGCTTTGCTGACTTTTAACTTAAATTCTAGATCTCATTCCCACCATAACTCTGCCATGTCTTTCCCTACATAATATGATATGAGATGTTCTCGATGTGGAACTGCAATGTTGCATGGGCAGAAGATCCGGACTACAATCTTTGCGGAAACAAATTTCGTGGGGAGCAAATTATTCAAACACATTGTTTAGTCACAAAATACGGCCCACTGGCACCATACGGAAGATCTCCCTTTGTGCACCTCCCATACCAAATGATTCGTAGCGGGCCTATATATGGTCCACTCCATGTAATGGGTAGACAATACGAATCGATTTTAAACAAACATTCGCCATATTCAAATGCAAATAAATATCGGAGAATTCCAGTTGATTGGTCATATATTTACTTATTTAAATATTTGCTATTCAACTGCTTATAACATACATTAAGGTGTATCTCATGATGAGATGAAAGAATGTGATATGAAGGATTGCCTCCCTTTTGATAAATTAAATACACCATTAGGCAAGGAACATTATGGCCCTGACCGGCTAACTAACAACCCAACCAATCAGAAATTTCAAAGAAAGTAAGTCCCCGTTTGGATTACAGCGACGGGACGGAAAAGAATTCCTGAGTTCCTCTAATTAATTGTTTACCCCAAAAAAATCCTCCATTAATTATTGAGCTCTGAAAAACAAGTAATGGCAGACTCCATGGATAACGAGGAGACCAGAGGCAGAGGGACTAGTCGTTCCATCATCCACTGAAACTGAACCATGGAATCTGCGCCCTTTCCCACTTCCACCCCTGCAATCCAATCACATCCTCTGCGTATTGTAACGTTAACATCAGCTTGTGTCTGTCTTACATGCAGACATCATTATCTGATTTCTTGCACCTCTCAGTCTCACCAAATGCCAAATTATAAACAAATAAATAATAGAAACATTATAGGGAGAGAGAAAAAGAGAGATAAGGTAGGTTGACCGTCGACACACGCACCATGCCACCATTGTCATAATGCTGTAGACCGTTCACCAAAATCCGGCACCCTCTGTGCATCCGGCAGTGGTAATATCTCGGATTCCAGCTGAGGCCGCACTATGTGGTTGCGACAGAGTGGACAATTTGAATGGGAGTAGAGCCACATGTCGATACAGGGTACATGAAATGAATGCATACACTGAGGCAATATCCGAACCTCCTCACCCTCCATGAATTCGCATAGGCACACCGCACACGTCCCGTCTTCCCTCACCTCTTTGGTATACCTTTGAGCCGGGATGATTTGTATCATACGACTCCCTACGCTATTAGTCGTCTCTTCTTGTTCTGCACGGAAAACCTCTCGTCGCCGTTCTGAGCCTGCTGAAGTAGTCTGCCGCTGATTGCACCAACCGACGGTAATGCAATGGTAAATTGTGAGCACGAGGATGGCCGATAGAATACCAACGATGGCAAGAGTAGCCGGAGAAAGATAAAAATCAATTTCTTGGGGTCGGGGACGGTTCTCATCCATCAGCTGGAAGACAGGAAACCGCCTTCAAAATACAGGCGAGGTTGGTGTTGAATTGCAAAGGGTTTGTGCTGTCTGCACTCTACACAAACAGAATTTGGAATAGGTGTATATGTGTATTATTTGGGAACTGGGGTCGATGAATTGGTGGGCCATGAGTACGCCACTTGAGGCTCAATTGCTTCTAGTTATTTAATATGCTCCACTCGATATATATAAAATTTCACAAGGCCTGCATGGATATATAGATCTGATGTGTATAAAATCAGTTTAATTTCTAAGGCGAAAGAAGCACCTAAATATAAATAAACATGGAAGTTACTTTATATAACTTGAGAGTAAGGACTACACCCACCATTATTATTTATTACAAGTATCTATCAGTCTCCATCCACCAAACTCCGGCAACCTGTTTAGGGTGGAAGCCGGCCGGAGGAAACAGTGATGGCAGTGCGACATAAAGGGAAATTGGCGTGAGAAAAGGGCCACATATCGATACAAGGCACATGAAATGACTGTTTGCACCCTGGCAAAACTCCCTGACCTCCTCCCCATCCTTAACTGACATAGGCACATAGCACATATGGAAACAGTTAATGGAAACATATGGGGATGAGTTGTAGCAGTTAAAGAAAGACTAAGAGCAATTTTAAAGAATGAAAGAATTTGTATTACTTGTATATGTCAACCAAGATGTTTTGGGTAAAGTATATATACACAAACGGATAAAATAATAATGGAAATCAAGGAGAGCAGTTGCCTATGTACAATATTTCCTAAATGGTTCTCTTCCTAATTTAGCTATTTCTAAACTTGAGTGAGAACCTCCACTAGTAACTGCTAAACTTAAGTGATAGCCTCCAATATTGGTAACTGCTAAACTTGAGTGAGAGACTCCATTGGTAATTTCTAAATTTGAGTAAGAGCCTCCATTGGTAACTATTAAACTTAAGTGAGAGCCTCCTTTGGTAACTTTGCATTATTGTAGAGTCACCATTTTTAGAGCTTTCCTTAATACCCTCAAGCGAAACTAGGCCGGAAGCACATGAAGCTTGGACTATAATTAAGAAGTCAAATCTAACTGGAGAAAGGTGTTTGGTAAATATATCAGCCAACTGATCATTAGTAGGAATATGTTGGACCTCCATGTTTTTGCGAAGAATATGGTCGCACAAAAAATGAAAATCCACTTCAATGTGCTTTGTTTGAGCATGAAAAATTGGGTGCGCAGCCAGATACGTAGCACCAATGTTATCACAGTAGAGAATAGGTGGAGAGGACTGATGAACACCCAAATCCCGTAAGAGAGACTGAAACCATAACACTTCAGTTATGGTATTAGCTAAGAAGTGAAACTCAGCTTCAGTTCTGGAACAAGCAATGGTGGACTGTTTCTTAGCGCTCTAGGAGATCAAGTGAGAACCAAGGAAAATACCATAGCCGCCAGTAGACCAACGGTCATCAAGGCAGCCTACCCAGTTAGCATCTAAAAATGCAACTAAAGATCCAGGAGAATTAGCAGCAAAGAGTATCCCAAAATCAATGGTACCTTTGAGATAACACACAATTCATTTCAATGTCGTCCAATGATCATCAATGGGAGTTTGAAGAAACTGGCATGCCTTGTTCACAGCAAATGCCACATCTGGCCGAGTCAGGGTGACATATTGTAAGGCACCAACAATGCTGCGATATTGAGTGGGGTCAGGTAGAGGCTCGCCCTAGAATTTTGACAACCTGGATGTAGGCACCATAGGTGTGGTCAAAGGTTTGGAAGCTGCAAGGTTGGTCTTCTATAGAAGATCTAGAATGTAGCGCCGTTGAGAGAGAAATAATCTGTTCTTGTCTCAATGAACCTCTACACCAAGAAAGTAATGAAGAGATCCAAGATCCTTAATAGAGAAACTTCGAGACAAATCAATAATAAGTTGAGAAACATGAGAAGCAGAAGATCCAGTAATAATAATATCATCAACATATATTAAAATATATAGAGAAATATTATTTTTGTTATAGATGAAGAGAGAAAGATCACATTGAGAGCCTCTGAAACCAAGATCATGTAATTGATTACTGAGTCAAGAAAACCAAGCACGAGGGGCTTGACGAAGACCATAAAGGGCTTTATTTAACTTGCAAACATAATCTGAACGTGTATGATCCTCAAAACCACGAGTTTGTTTCTCATATATATATATATATATATATATATATATATATATATATATATATATATATATATATTCCTGAATAAAACCATTTAGAAAAACATTGTGAACATCCAACTATTTGATGTCCCATTTGTGTGACGTAGCCAGTGATAAGACCATAGTGGCCAGAAGCGAAACGACATCTCTAGCAACCAGTTTCAGAAACGAGATTTGCGTTGAACCAATCGGTTTGTCTAGAAAAACCAGTCCAACCTTGAGCCGTACGGTCCAAATCAAACGCTTAACCAAACTTCAACTTCAAATTCCTCAGCTGAGAACAGAAACTCATCCACGCCACACCGCGGCTGTGCACTGCACTCCTCGACTTCAGAACTGGGGGAGTGGTGTTCGGATTATGGTTGAGCTGGCTCCGGATGCCACGTGTCGCCTACGTGGCCTCCTTATCTCTTCAGCTATGTTAGCACCGCATCACCTTCGCGACCCACCTTATCTCTTCAGCCATGTCGGCACCGCTAGGGATTAGGTCTTATCTCGAAGATCTCAGCGGGTAACCTCATCCTGACAAGCCCAGAAGCCTCATCCGATCAGGACACGGATCATCGACTATAAAAAGGTACCTCTCGCTCAAGGTAAAGGATCCAAATTTTGACTCCCATACTGTGATTCTGCTCGAACCAACATCGTTCTCCAACTGCTCGGCCCAACCGCCCACTACTTTCTACTGACTTGAGCGTTGGAGTATCTACCTGTGGATAACTCATCGAGCCTTTAACCTTTTCTTGGTTTCAGATCTCATTGCATGGCTTCATCCTTCCATCTTGGCTCCGCCTAGTTGGCAATGATTATCTGACTATGACCTCGATTCGTGCACTACCTCGAATCGAGTAGCATCAATTTCTACTTGAAATGCTACGACATCAGCACCACCTATGCATTTTGAGTTTAATGGTAAATTTTCTATTTGGTTAAGACTATTTTGAGTGAAAACAGTCATGAAATGTTTCTACTTGAAAGATAAATTAGGGAATGTTTCAAGAAAAATCAGTATGATGTTTGTTGTTTTGGGAGGTAAAGTCTTAAGACTCTACACTCTCATGTGGTGATGACATGGTGCTGAGATGAATGAAAACACATATTTCTCACAAAAACAAAATTCAAGTGCAAACCGTGGTATTTGTGTTTTAGATATAAATGATATTTCAGCTGAAAACAGTGGTGGACGAAACACCAATGGCACGGGACAACCTTTGGTTGTGTTTGATACCATTGGCGTTTCCTCATAAAACGCTTGGGGTTGATCAGTAGAAAATGATGTTAAAATATGTTTTGTTATGTTAGATAATCAGAAATGTTTTGAATTGATCAATGCAAATTACTTCTGTTACTTAAACATCAATTTGATGTTTTAACTCTAAACATCGATGGTCAGAAATGTTACTTTTGTTAAACAAGCCTGCCGAGAAACTCCAAACTTAGCTAGTAAACACACAGCCCATTACACAAATGTGGAGCAGGTTGCCAAAGGCAAGCAATAAAGGATCTCAAACCCAAGCCCAACATAAATTTATGGATCCGCTTGGGAGGGTTGAGTTGAAGATTCAGGTAAGCTGGAATAGATGATTTGAAGCAATTCAGATTTCCTACCCACAAGAATCTTACTCACACCTACCCACATGACACTACATCTGTAATATTGAGAATCTCCCCATGAATAGTAACATACAAATATAGGAGATGTTCTTAATGTACAGCTATAATGAGGCATGGGTAAGAGGAGACAGGATCTGCTCCTCACACAGAGCGCCTCACACCCACTTCACACACACATCTTACCATGCATTGGGAACATCTTCCATATTTATTAGTTATTATTCATGGGAGATGTTCCCAATGCATGGTGGATGTTCCTGTGAAGCACTCATTTGTGAGGAGTAGATCCCATTCCGGGTAAGAGATCCAAACTGGATTTGAATCACTCTGGATAAACCATCTAAAGAGGTTAAAGTAGACAGCCTTTCAAACGACTAACTGACAATGGATTATGGATCTCCAGAATTTCATTAAACGTAACTTGTAACACTCCGGATCTCCTACCCACACATTTTCTATATCCTTACTCATGAGATACTGCTGCCATGTATTGGGAATATCTTTCCATGAGTGGCAAGGGAGATATTCCCAATGTGCACCTGAAGTGTCTGTTGGTAGAAATGTTGGAAGAATTTGTGGGTAAGAGATCCAAGCTCAACATATAAGCTGTCCATGTGGAGCCCCCCTTGAAAAGGTTGGACTGGCTGGCTCAGGCTTCTGGTGGCATAAACCCAAGCTCAACATGATCCAAGAATAGGCAAGATATTTCAAACTGAAGTAACTCAAATCCTAGAACCCAACCCACTCTGTGCAAAAGGAATAGGTAGAAAAGTGCCCAACTTGAGTTGGCTCCCACCCATATTGCAGCCTATACTATGTGACATAACCAATTATCAATCACAATAGAAGTGGCTTAACTGAATGGCTTATTGCTTAATGTCTTAAGGAGGTTGTGAACTATTGGGTTGATTACTATATCTTCAAATATTTTGATTATTTAATTATTTAATTTATTACCAATAAGTCGGTCATTCAATTCAACCGCTTGTGATTTATTATCAAATGTAGTCAGGTCAATACAGCAACCATCCCAAAATGTTAATGAACATTTCATGTTATATGGCATGAATAATTAAGGGTCTGTTTGGTTTGTAGTCAGAATCAGAATTGAAATCAGAATGGTCTACTCCCATACTCTGTTTGGTTTAGATAAGAATTGAAATGGAATTAGAATAATCTGGAATGGGATTTTATTCTCAAGGGAGAGGGAGGGAGAATGGCCATTCTCTCAATGGGAAACAATTTCACCAAGAATGGGAATAAGATTTCGATTCTGCTCAACCAAATTATTAGAATTGGAATGGCCTTCGATTCCAATTCCAAACCCTTATTCCTGCAAACTAGATGAGACCTAAATAATCCATCTAAATATTATGCATGAATTATGAGACATATCAATAGTCAAGGTCAAGAATGATAATTCATGGCTTGTGAATAGGCACCCTAGAATTTTTTTTTTTCTGCAGGAGTAATGGAGCAATTGAGCAACTAACGGGCATGGGCACAAGATATTACATGTTTAGATAAAACATAGACACCACCATTACGCAATTTTTTTTTTTTTTCTGATTCCACAATAACAATGCAGGATCAACAAGGTGAATCAATGGAGTCGAGTAATGGAAGCTTAACAAGTTGTGCATTAAGGGTCCCTTACCAACTTCTTTGCCAATGCACCTTGCTGCATTATATGCTGGGTCTAATACATCATACAGTTTGCTATCCTTGGGCCCGTACGATAGACCCAAAACATGTCAACACCACTCAGAGTGGATATTGGACAAGTGTAGGGACCCTGTGAACGTTTCACGGAATTGGTTCAGGAATGCTTCGGCTCGTTTATCGGCCCGCAGGTTTTCAATCGTCAATATGTGATGCCATCAAGGATGGCATTCGCGTACATATCTCAATCAAACACTTCCCTCAAACCATTAATTAACCCTAAATTGGGTACCTTATAGTATATTTTACTAACCTCGTCTTTCAAATATCTAGTATTCTACCATAATTAATAGTGTCCAATATGAGATTTTGTTTACATCTATTTTTTCTATAAGCTTCACTTTACCCCCAACCTACAACAATCCGTTGTTACTGTTCCCAAATTTTCCACCAGTAAACAAACCATCATAATTCCACAGACACATTCATACCCATTTTGCTTGCTATTTCATAAAAAAAATAAGAAAAACAAAATAATCAATAAAAAAATGGTTTCACCGCCTGCATTTGATGCAAATAATAAAAAAAAAAGACAAAACTTCTAAACCAATATTCTTCATGTATCGAACAAATTAAAGTGTTGATTACAAGCATGCTTTTCTCTCTTTTTTCTTTAATGGAAACAACGGATGGGTTATTCTTTATCTTTGTGAACGCAAAGACCTAAAAGATCAGTGTCAAAGGAGCTCGCTTCTGACCGGAGCGAGCTTGAACGGCAGTCGGAGGTGAAGAAAACGATCGGAGTGAGATCAAATGGCAATCGGAGGTGAAGAAGACAATTAGAGTCCTGATCCCGTTCACAAAGAGTTTTTATCAAAATTTGGAGTTGAAAAATGGTTCAATTGTTTCTTTTTTTTTTCAATTAGGTGGTGACGTGTACTTGTTTCTAATGGGTAGGATTAATGTGTGAGACCCACTAGTAAGTACAACATCAAGATTTTTGAAATTTTTATTTGGTCTCAATCGAAAACATCAACGTCGTTGCAAATGTCATTTGTTTTTGCCTACAATTGGCCTTTTCACCAAAGTCTAGGGACAAAAATGACCTTTTCTTATTCTTTGGGGTCAAAATTGGCCTTTTTGCAAAGTCTATATGGGTTATTAGAGCCAAATCCTATCTTTTTACGTTGTTTTCATATCATTCTTAGGCCTTTAAACATCTTGTGCCCTGGTTCAGGGGTTGTTAGAGCCAAAAAAAACAAAAAAAAAATTCTATTTTTTTACATTGTTTCATGCTATATCATGTATATATGGCTTTCATTTGGTTATTGAATGAAGTTGTTAGGTAGTTCACATTCCATGTGATCCCACCAATTGAAATGGGAGAGGAGTGCCTAATCCCTTTCTTCTCTCATCCAAGTCTTACCTAGACTGATTCAACGGATGCTTTGGGTTTGAAATCACCTTTGGACTAAAATGATTTCATGCTTAATCCATAGAGGACCCACTACCTCCATTTCCTTTGAATGATAGGTTGTAATTCCAAATCAGCCCAAATGAGCAATTTCCCGACGCTCACACCCCTCCCTTCAGAATCAGAATTAGAATCGTTTCGATTCTAATTCTAATTCCAAATCAGCCCAAATGAGCAATTCCAACTGTGAACAAAACGGGCCCTGAGAACCCATAAATATCAGGCTGCTTGTTCGAATCCCCCTTATGCATGACTATTAAATCATCTTTAAACAACCAGGGCCCCCCATCCCAAACCCGATCTCGATCATAAACTGCTAGGAAATTTAAAAATGTATGAGTTATGTGTAAAATCAGAGATTGCTGATTGGTCAATCCAGCCTTGGAAAGCATATCTTTCAGGCCCGATATCTTGACGGTGCGGTCAGTGAGAACTGTGAAAATAAGACTTCGTCACCACTCCTCACTTGGCAGAATATCATCTTGATCGGCAGTACTCGGGAGTCGGGAGCCGGGAGCAACAACTTGGACAAAATCCCGAATGATTTCATCATCTGCCATAACTAGATTCAGTAGAAGACAGAGTGTGTAAAAGGAACATAGACGGGAAAGGAACCTGCAAAACAGCAAAAGACCAGTACCAAAACTCCGGGAAACCTGTGCGAAGATAGGAGGGAACAACTGTGTGGCCAAAGGTTTTCAATTGCAAAAAAAAAAGAAAAACAAAAACGTGCAAATCAGATTAGTATTGTAGAAAATACGAGTTGCATCCTATGGCAAGTCTGGAAAACCTGCAGCAGAAAGCCAGCATGTTCAATGTTACACGTAAAGTGAAAGGTACAAATTTCATGCCACATTTTCTCACTTCTGTGCTTTATTTCATGCGGAGATATTCCCAATGCAAGGCTCTATCATGGGTGTTCGAACAGACTTTGCACTGACTGAATCCGATTTCAAATCCTTGTTTAGGCTAAGTTTGAAAGGAGTGCAAATTCAATATGTACATAGATATATAAAATTATACAAAATACAGGATTTTGCATTCTACATATTTTTATTTGTACTTCCAAATGGAGCCAAGTACAATGAGAACCTCCTTGGTCAACAATTCAAAGTTAAGACTACAGTTACTTAGATTCAACCAAACAAAAAGCAAAAGAATTAAAAAAAAAAGTCACCACATGACAGATCTTACAAAACATGTAACAATAAAAAAAAAATGACCAACTCATGGCTCAGGTTATCCATTGTTTATTTGCAGGTCTAGGTGCTATTTTTTTATAGTTTTTATTTCCATTCTCCTAGAACAGAGACCCGGTTCAGTTCAATTAGCAAGAAATTCCTAACCTTGGTTATTACACATTTACACTCGCGCAACATTTTTTTCTACATTTTACTCAATCATTTACTTCTTTGATCAAACTATTCCTGTTGACATAATTATCCAAAAAAAAAAAAATCCTGTTGACATCTTATGGAAGTAGATTATCTTAGATACTTCCCATAGTTTAGCAAGATGCTTCGTCATGAACTAAAAAGAAATTAGTCTTGAGTTTTGGTTCAATATTTCAGAATAATGGTGGTGGCATTGTAATCTGCATTTTCTCTTCCAGTCCCCATAAATGGGAAATACATTATTGCATTTCGTCACTGAATTCCTTCAATTAATGTCTCTGTATACCCATGATTGCACACTGCATCTTGAATTACTTAAGATTCTTAAAGATACATTATTGCATTTTGTCACTGAATTCGTTCAGTTAATGTCTCTGTATACCCATGATTACACACTGCATCTTGAATTACTTCTGATTCTTAACAGATACAATAGCAAGTCTATGAGGAATGCAATGTGTGAAGAGTCTGCAGGTACACCAATTTCTGAATAATGTATTTGTATCCCTTCCAGTTGTTGCAGCTAATATATGCATTTTCTTAATCGCAACCTGCCTGTTTTGATGGCTTTTCATTCTTTGAGAAAAAACGACAAATTTGGTGAAATGTTATGCGTGAAGATTCTGTTAGTACACAGATATGCACAAAAAAAGGCTAAATAAATTAGAGTAGGGGATGCCTCAATAGAATTTCACTCATGCAGAATGGAAGATATACAAAGCAGCCTCAGAATTGACGGCGATCCTTGGGTTTCATGAATAATTGGCAAAATGGATGACAGCTTTTCATAAGAGTGATGATAGAAAAGTATTTTGGGCGACTAAATTCCTGTAAATAATACCAGCAACAGAAGCCAAGGTAATTTGACCATTGGATCTCTCCTTGCCAGATGAAATGCCTTCTTGGTGAGCTGTTAGCTGCTATGATTTGTGATTTTATAACTTCTGAATAACTCTGAGCTTTGCACTTCTGCTCCTCCGATTCAATCTCTCCTCCATTTCGGAAGGTGTCAATGGTCTCTTTGTCAGTATAGTCCCATTTTTTCCCTTAATTATCTGTTTAATCCATGCTTCTTCATTTTCATTACCATTCCTCTGTGTACCTTCGTATCTCTTGTCCCTATCCTCATCCTCCCTATTGATTATATCAAGAAAAGTCTGTTTGACTATCCTGTCCTCCAAGCTATGAAAAGAGATGACCGCAAGCCTGCCTCCAGAAGAAAGGCAGTCAAAACAAGCATTAAGTGCATCTTTCAGTGTCTGGAGTTCATCATTAACTGCTATCCTCAAAGCTTGAAAGACCCGTGTGGCTGTCTTTATCCAACCCTGTCTACCTGCAATTCATCAGAAATTCATTTGGGGGAGTGTTCAGAAATACAGAGCGGTTAATTATCACTTTATATTCTGGTCGTATAAGAGTAGGGGATTCAGTAAATGCAGAAATTCAAGCAGTGTTACAAGGAGCTGAATTTGCCAAGGAACTGAATTATGAACAGCTTTTAACCAAAGGTGATTCCAAGCTGGTGATCCAGTGGTTAAAAGAACCAGAAACAGCTGCCTGGTCCTATAAGGGGGCTTTACGAAGATTCAAATGGTTAACTACAAACATGTCAGTCCAATTCCAATGGGAAAGAAGATCAGCAAATGGGTTAGCAGACTCACTAGCTAAACAAGGGTTGCATAGGAATCGGATGTTTTGGGCTAAACTGTAATTCTTTGTTTTAATCTGAGGCTGCATCTCGTGCCTCACTTTGGGAACTTTCTTTGTGCATCTTTTATGCTCCTAATCTTTTAATAAAATCATTCATTAATCATAAAAAAAAAGGAAACGAGACCAGACCACCCAGTTGAACCAACCTAACTGCTTTAGGTCTTTCCAGTTCTCAAATAGGAATCACCCTTTGGTCAAATGAGGGTCGAACCACAGTTAAGCCTCAAACCATTCAACCTATTTAAGCTGCTGCAACTACCAGGAAGACCAGGAAGGGTTGTAGTTTTTATTTTTATTTTTTTGGTTTCATGGGGCTACAATGGGGGGTAGCCCATCCCCTGTGGCCCCGCCCTTAACCCCCCAACCCTGGTGGCAGTGGGATTTGATCCCAGGAAGGGTTGTAATTTTAAACACAAGTCGAATGACAAGAGCCCTAATCAATCCTAAACGTGTAAGACCCTAAAAAATACAAGAGACAGAAGCATGGGAGAGGCAGAGTAAGGGAGAAACAAACAGTTAGACCGAGTCTTCTAGCCCAGGGGGTGTTTTCCAACATGAATTGTCTATTATGTTGTGATTTCAAGAAAACTGGGCCCCACAAACTGTTTTGAATAGGGTAAATTACTTAAACCTCCCCTGAACTTTGACCTCTGAAAAACTTCCCTCCACATTTAGGGTAAACTATACTTATTGATCCCTTCCTTTACTTTGATGTTAGGAACCTAACCAATATGGATATTGCATTAAAGAAAATTACAAAAAATAATATAAAATTACAAAGATAAATAAAACAAAAAATAATGAAAATTAGTAGAAGGGAAGCTGGATTCTTGGTGATGGAGAAGACAAGAAGAGTCCTGTGACTGGTTCAGTAGTAGAAACCAGTGAAGAATCAGAGGAAAGAGATGGAAGAGGGTGTGTTACTGTTCATAATCAGAACATTTCAATTTATAATAAAGACAATAATTACATTTATGTCCCTATATGGGCACCCAAAATACAAATAAAATGAAATGGCAACAATAACCCTAAGCCAAATACATATTCTCAACACTCCCCCTCAAGCTGAGCATAGATATCTATCATGCCCAGCTTGCTTAGATTTCTGTCAAGTTTTGGCTTGTTGAGACCCTTAGTGAGGCAATCAGCAAGTTGGTCTTCTGACTTGACAAAAGGCACACATATTTCTCCATTGGCTGCCTTTTCTCTAATGAAGTGTCTGTCAAGCTCAATATGCTTTGTGTGATCACATTGAATAGGTTTATGAGCAATGCTTATAGCAGCTTGGTTATCACAGCATAGTTTCACTGGGCTTCAGCTTTGATCCCAATCTCCGATAACAAGTTTTCAACCATACTAGTTCTGATACACCATGAGCCATAGCTCTATATTCAACTTCAGTGCTAGATCAGGCAGCAACAAATTGTTTTTTTGCTTCTCCAAGACACAACATTACCTCCTACCAAGGTGCAATAACCGGAGGTGGATCTTCTATCATCCACAGAACCTACCCAATCAGCATCAGTATAAGCCTCAACCTTGAGATGTCCCTAGTTAGAGTACAACATTCCTTTTCTTGAACATCCCTTTATGTAGGCAAGAATCCTATTGACAACTAGCATATGTGAATAGGGTTGGCCATGAGCCAAGCTCTTCACTAGCTACTCGAGCTCAGCTCGTGAAAAGCTCGGCTCATGAGGCTCGCAAGCCGAGCTCAAATAGCTAAATAATAATAATAATAATATATATAATAAATTATAGAAAATAATATATATAATAAAAATATTATATATATAATATTTTTATTTTTATATATAATAATAACTAATTATTATAATTCTTAATTTTTTAAATACCAAATAAAATATACTATATATTTTATTTTTATAAAACATTTTTCTCAAGTCGAGCTTGAGCTCAAGGTTCTAGCTCGAATTGAGCTCGAGCATCGTAATACCTTGGCGAGCCAAGCTCGAATAGCTAACTATTCGGCTCAGCTTGGCTCGAATCCACCCCTATATGTGAAGTTCTGGGACTGTGCATATACTGGCTCACCATGCTTACAACATAGGATATATAAGGTCGAGTCAGGCACAGGTAAATAAGTCAACCAACAAGTCTATGGTAGACACCCTTGTTTAGAAGAATACCTCCATCATCAACACTTAGTTTATGATTGGAGTCAGTAGGAGTTTCAACTGGCTTGCACCCCAATTTCCTAACTTCATGAAGGAGATCAAGAGCATACTTCCTCTACGAGATGAATATACCTCCCTTTGACCTTGCCATTTTGATTCAAGAAAGTATTTTGAGATTCCCAAGATCTTTGATCTCAAATTCAAAAGCAAGAAATGACATTAGTTGGTTTATCCCAGAGTGATCATCTCCAATGACAACAATATCATCAACATACACTATCAAGAAGGTTACTAGGCCATTAACCCTTCTTATGAGCAAAGTATAGTTTGCTTGTGATTGTGTAAACCCAATTTTGAGAACAAATTTCCTGAATCTATCAAACCAAACTCTAGGGGACTGCTTAAGCCCATTAAGGGATTTTTTTAGACGGCAAACCTTCTCCTTACCATTAAGGAAGCTTACCCCTGGGGGTAGATCCATTAGGGAAGGTCTCCATTTAAGAAGGCATTTTCACATCCATTTGGTAAAGAGGCCATGAATAATGAGTAGCAAGAGACGTAGTGACTCAAATAGAATTCATTTTGGCTACAATAGGAAAGGTCTCTTGATAGTCAATCCCATATGTTTGGGTGCATCCTTTTGCCACCAACCTAACCTTTATCTTTCAATTGATCCATCAGCCCAAAGTTTAATAGTATACATCCACTTGTAGTCCACTGGGACTTTGCTTTCAGGAAGAGGAATGAGCTCCCAGGTGTGTTTTTTTAAGAGGGCTTCTATCTCTTGGTTAATAGTATCCTTCCAATGAGGTGACTGCACTACATCTAAAACATTGCGCGTAACAGAAACAAAGGAGATAGCAGAAATATAGGCATAATAGGAAAGTGAAAGAGAATCACAAGAAACATAGTGATGGGGTAGGCAGTGCATTTTCTTTTTCCTTTTCTAATTGCAATGGGAAGGTCAAGGTCAGATTGTGAGATATTAAGGCTCAATAACAATATGAATAGGAAGTTCATGGTTGCTTTCAGAATTACCTGGAGGCGGGTGATTAGATTGTTGTGGACATTCAGCCTCAGGAGTATCCTTCCTTCTGCACCTTATGAAGCACTGTTGCCAAGGCCGCTGCAGAGGAATGGGAGAAGTATGAACACTGTTACTACAAGTGGGAAAAGATGAAGATGGGCCAGGAATATCCATAGAAGTAGGAACAAGAAAACAAAAGGGAGTCCGATCTTCACTAACAATCTCCCCCAAAAGAGGACGAGAGGACTAGAAATACGCGATAGACTCAAGGAATGTAACACCCTCAGATACATACTGTCGACTAGAGTGGGGATCAAAGCACTTGTACCCCTTTTGGACAGGAAAGTAGCCCAAAAATATGCATTTGATGGATTTAAGCCCCCAAAATGGGATCTTTAGGGAACAAAAGTTGATGAGGGGATTGAAGAGAAAGGGTTAATGAAGGAAGTTTGTTATTGAGATATACTGCTGCTTCAACACATGTCTATTTTTTCTCTCTGCTACACCATTCTATTGCGGAGTATGAGAACATGAGCTTTGATGAATTGCTCCCTTTCCTTCAAGGATTAGTCGTAGATGCTTTTCAAAATACTCAACACTGTCAAACCTTATTATCTTAATGTGCTTTTCAAATTGTGTTTCCCCCATCTTGAAGAAGTTTTGAACAATGGCAAGAACTTCATCTCTACTCTTCATTAGGTATAGCCATGTATATCTAGAGTAATCATCAATGAAAAGTATAAAATATTAATAGCCACTCGTACAAGAAATCATTAGGCTTGTTTTAAGTGAGAAAATCATTAACATAATTAATGCTTATGCACCTCAAGTGGGTTTAGAAGTACACATTAAAAGGAAATTCTGGGAAAACATAAAAGGATTAATCTAAGAAACATAGTTTTCAATGCACCAAGGCGAGGCTAGGCGACAGGGGGGTGCCTAGTCGCCTAGTTGCCTAGGCGATGAATTTTTTTATGTAAAATCATATATCCTAGGGTAGTTCCCTAGGTTCCATAGCCATATTTCCTTAATAATGATTCATAATTTTCATAAGAAAAGTATAAATTTCATGTTTAAGTCTAGAAAATCAACATTTTATGAGAAGAAAAAGAACAAAGTAAAGAAAATTCAAAAAATATAGGGGCTGAATCCCTACTTTTGTTATAGCAAAGAAGAAAAGAAAAGGTGGAAGAAGAAGACATGGTAGGAAGAAAATGTGTTGATTAGACAATTTTAAGTTCTTCCTTTGCTTATAGGTTCAGGTTTTGAAATTTTTGAGGGTTCAATCAAGGATCAAAATTTCAATATGATATGCCCCATATCGGGTGTATTGATTGTACCTTTGGGGTCCCGATACCTGTTTACAGGTGTTTTCGAGGACCCTTTTTTTAAATAATATATTTAAAAATGAAATTGAAAACCAAAGAAATAAAAAAATAGGGAAAGTATCGTTATAAGTACCGATACACCTCTACCAATACACAGAGGTGTATCGATACTGTGAACCATGGGTTCAATACAACAGTTAGCAATGCTGCATTGATTAAACCCTAACAAAATAAGAAAATAATAATAAGAAATTAGTATATAAACACACAAAATGAATATTCTAGTTTAATAATGTTTATTTTATAATTATAATGTCAAAACATTAAAAATATAAAAGTAATTTATAACCTAGTGCACAAAACTGCTAGGCGACTAGGCAAGGCAAGCCTCCAAGGGCGTCTTGTTACCTAGGTGTCGCCTTGACAACTATGCTAAGAAATTCCTAATTAAGAAAGATTTTTATAGGAGGGAACTTAAATTGGCATGTGGGGAAAAAGTGTAGGATATAATATGGTGAATGGAATATTTTAGTTTGAAGAGAGGAATGAAATAGGAGATACAATCCTAGAATTTGCAATAGCTTACGATATGACAATTCTAAACACATTTTTCAAAAAGAAGAATGAACACATAATAACTTTTAAAAGTAGATCAAACATAAGTCAAATAGAATTTTTTTTACTAAGGAAACAAAATAAATGATGTGTAAGGATTGCAAAATTATTTTAAGGGAAAGCTTAACCAAACAACATAGATTAGTGGTGGTGGATGTGCATATTAGGAAATGAAGGAGAAAAAGGGTAGAAAATAAGTGTCCAAGAATTAGGTGAGAAAACCTAAAAGGAGGAAAATCAGTTCAATTTGGAGATAGGTTGAAAGTAAAAGGAAAATGGAATTTTGATGGAAAGACCAATGATATATGGCTTAAAATGGCAAACTACATAAAGAAAGTAAAAAGGATGTCTTAGGGGAATCTAAAGGACAATGGAAAAATGCTAAAAAACTCGTTGGTGGAATGAAGAGATTCAAAATATAATCAAAAAACAAGCTTATTACAAAGATGGAAAATAACTAGGAAAAATATAAATTAGGGCATATGATGAGCTTTATCATAAATTAGGCACTAAGGAGGGAGTAAAAGGAATTTAAAGTCTAGTAAAGATAGGAGAAAGAAAAGACAAATTTAAACCATGTTATGTGCATTAAAGAGGAAGATCTAAGAGTCTTCATAAAAGCTGAAGAAATCAAGCAAAGATGGAAAGGCTGTTTTGAAAAATTATTAAATGAACATGTAGAGGGCGCTGATGGAGGAGAGAGTAATAATACTAATAATGTTAAAAATAAATGCACCTTCGTAAAATTGAAACTAGCAAAGTGAAGGAAGTGTTAAATAAGAAAAGAAAAAAAAAGGAAAGACATTAGGATTGGATGGGATTTCAATAAAAATGTGGAAAGGTATGAGAGAAGTAGGTTTAATTAATGAAAGAAAAGAAGATGCCTAATGAATGAAAGCAGAGTAGTATGGTGCATATATTTAAGAACAAAGGTGATATACTAAGTTGTAATATCTATTGGTAGATCAAACTCATGAGCCATACTATGAAAGTCTAGGAGAGGATAATTGGGCAAAGAGTACAACATGAAACAAATATATTAGAGAACCAATTTAGGCTTATGCCAGGGAGATCAGCCATGGAATTTGTCTTACTTTTGAGACAATTATAGAAAAGTTCATAGCAGAAAAGAGAGATCTTCATATGGTGTTCAATTGATCTAGAGAAAGCTTATGATAGAGTTCCTAGAGGGAAAATATAATGGAATATAGTGGCTCTTGGAAGAGAAAGGGTTCCAAATAGGTATGTAGAAATAATTAAGGATATGTATGAGGAGCAACAACTAATGTTAGAACACCTATAGGAGAGACATTAGATTTTACAATTACGATGGGTATTCACCTAGACTCAGCACTTGGCCCTTATTTATTTGAACTAATCATAGATGAATTGATTAAACATATTAAAGTGGAGGTCCCTTGGTGCATGTTGTTTTCAAATGACATAATTTTAATTGATGAAACTAATTAAGGATTAAATGCAAAGTTAAGCTTATGGACAAATGCCTTATAAACAAGAGGTTTTAAAATAAGTTGGACTAAAACGGAATATATGATATATAAATTTATTAAAAATAACAGTGCAAATCATGGTAACTTAGGATTGAAGACCAAGAGATAGCTCAATGTGACCTTTTCTAGTGCCTTGGTTCAATAATTCATAACTTAGGCAGTCAAAAAAATGAGTGTCATAAATGTGTATGCTAAGATGGATGAGTGGAAAATAAAAGTAGACTTAGATAGTTTGGTTACATAAATAGAAGACCATCAACAACACCTATAAGAAGTGGTTTACTGCAAGTAGTAGGAAAAAAAAAAGATTCAAGTGGCAATAGTTTAACAATAGATATGGCTTCAAACAGAATGGAATGGCAAAACAAGATTCATGTAACCAACTCCATATAGTTGGGAATTGGGATAAGGGTTGGATGATGATGATCATAGTGGAGAAAATAAATATAATAAAAATAAATAGAAACCCCTTTACTGTAATCAACTAAAGATAGAAAAGGAGACAAATACATTCAAATTTCAAATTTCAAAAAATAGATAGGAGAGCTCTTTATCTTTATCTTGGTATAGATTTAGACTAAGAGAGCTGTTGTTGCTTCTTCACATGGATACTCGAATATTTTTCCTCTTGTCTGGCCTCTTTATGTGAGTTGTTGGAGGTGAAAGAAAAGAAGTAATACAGACTAGTGGCTAGATGGGCTCCCTGTAAATCTTCAAGTAGGTATGCATGTTTTGCTGCCCCTTGGCTCTGCCTAGGAAGTAGCAACTAAACCAAGTATAATTAAGAAAAGAAGCAAATAGATACACCACAACTACCATGCCTATATGCTCTGTCTCTTCTCAACCTGATTCTTCTTCTTCTTTGCCTAGAAAACCCACTTAACAATCAAGAGAGAGAAAGAGAGATTATGATTAGAAAGTGAGAAGATTTTGAAAACTTGGAACCCCAATTAAATGATTTAAATTTTCAAAAGAATGTGTCCTTAATGAGGATAATTGATTAGTCATCCTCCTAAGGATGTTGCTTGTTTCAAAATTGGAGCATGAGCACTTAAGCTTTGGCAATTCCCAGAACTTTGCCTTTGCAATCCCTAAATCACTAACATGTCTTCTTTCAATCATCTCGGTACCACTTCGACATCTTATACGATTCGCTCTCAGATTGATTACTACTCTCATTATCCATTGAATGAGAAGAGATGTCATCTCTTTGTTTATTGATTGCTTTGTATCCTCTTTGTTAGCTACCTGATCTTGGAGATCAAAATCAGAGGAATCCCTCTTCATTGACAAAATATCGTCATGCTCATCTTCCCCTTCATAAGAGGCCTCTATCACCTCAACTTCGACAGGACTTTCCTCTCTTGCAATGCTGTTGTGGTTGTCAACTGAATAAATGGGAAAAGAAAGGGAGGGGGCAGTGACTGTTTCAGCTGCCGGCAACAGAGAAGAAGAGGAAGGGAAACAAGAATAAGAGTGGAGGAGGTATTTTGTTGTCTACTCAATTAGCAGAAGGGATCGGTAAGCATGGTTTACCCTAAATGTGGAGGTGGAGGGAGGTTTTTGCAAAGGTCAAAGTTCAGGGGAGGTTAAAGCAATTGTCAGAAACTGCAGGGGAAGTTTAAATAATTTAACCTTCAAAAAAATATTTTCTTAAAACAAAAACACATATTTGGCTATGCAGTGCTTTCCTTATTTTCAAAACTGAAACCAAAAACATGTTCTCAAATTTCTGGTTCCAAAAATATGATTTCCATTAGTGGTTTGATATTACATTTCACAGAGCATACAATATTCAAATGGAGATTCTGATTGAGTGGATATTAGTTCACCTTGCCTATTTTTACATTTTATTTAGACTTTAGACGTGAGTTCTTGGTGACCTAAATCCAATGAATGAATAATCCATTTCAGAGTCATAATTGGTACAAATTAGAAGCTTCAAGGGTAATAAAAATAGGTTTCCTTAGGTTTTTAATTTTTTTAGTAGATAGTAATAAAAGTTGGGGTTGAAGGTGGATAAAACTTACCTGCCGACTTTGGTGTCATACTCCGAACAAGATCTACCAATTCACCAGTGGAATGCAATCCACCACATAAACGAGCATTCACAATCTTTGTCTGAAGACAATGCCAGTTGCTCTCTTCACCATAATCCCGCAAAATCCGTCCAACTTCAGCCTCTGGCCAAGAATTCAAGATGTCTTCTGCTTTCAAACTTCCCTGTTATGAATCTGTTCCAATCAGTTAAATAGTGGAAAAATCTGTGGAAACTACATGAACATACAGTTGGCTAGTCAAAGTTTCAGGCATATTACAATACACTAATAGCATGTGAAGTTGTTCAAAGAATGGAAAGGCCCAGGGTATGCATCTAGGGCCATAGAACCTGAGCAAATCCCCTCTATATTGGAACCTTTCACCTTGGGATTGACAAAAAGATGGAAGTTCTCTCTTAAAACTACTGGACTTGAACATTAATTCACATCAATGTAGATAACCCATTTTGACCCCTGGCTGATTAAGAGTCTTTGAGGGTTTGCTAACTTGGATTTGAGGGATACAAAATCAAGCAGAAAGAGCCAGTCAACTGAGCAGAGGATCTGGAGGGATTGAACAGGAAAAACACTAGAAGAAAGTTCCACATCAGTAAATTCATGTTTTCATATGATCTTGATGGGCCCTACAGCTGTAAGTTTGTAAAGACTGCCATATATCAACTTGTGCAGCCATACAGCACATGGGCCCTGTTTTCTAATCTGTGAATTGCAGATTTAGGAAAGGTGTTTCTGCTTTTGCTTCACTTCAAGCCACCTAGGATCAGTCCTAAACCCCAATTAATTCAACATAGGATCAGAAAAAGGTTCCTAAACCTTCCCAAATTAAGTTACTTTTGAATCTAAATCAAATTAAAATGGATTTTTATAGATCTCCTTAGATTGTCTTACTTTAGGAATGAGATAATGAATCTTGTGTGATTAAAAGAAGGATAGCCTCATGATTTGAGGAAGCTACAATATTAAAAGGGGAGAAAATGGGAAAAATGTCTTTCTGTCGAAGAGTGTAAATAGATGGGGTTAATTACTTAAAGTACCCCTGAACTATCTACAATTACTTAAAAGTACCCCTAAGGTTTAAAAACCTACTTAAAGTACCACTAATGTTTCGTATATTCACTTTCCGTTAGGTTGGGCCTTTAAATTGGACAAAAGACACTTTTGTCCTTAGTTATTCTTCACATTTTTAAAATGTGCATTCCTTAAACTAAAGCATGTTAACACACTGAGAGTGACATCCAGCCCTGCACCCCCCCCTCCCCCCCCGTCCCCATTTCTCTCCTTCCATCTCCACTGCAAAATCTAGCTGTAGAGTTGGGAAAATTCTCGCTGCCAGGTTTGGGCAGGAATTCCTTAGCTTCTCTTTGCGAACATATGAAAAACTTGCTTCTTCTTGCTCATCAACATATCTGAAACTTGTGAGTCAGGTCCCTTAAAATGCTTTTCATTTCAACTACTGCTCCCAGGTGATATAAACCTGCTTCTTATTGCTTTCCAATGTTGCTTGCTTGAGATTATTTCTTGTCTTTCAAGCACTCATTGATTGGATAGGAGGTTTTGCTCAGGAGTCCAGCCTGTCAATTGGAGTGCAGAATTTGAGTTTTAGATTTCCCGTCTTGTAAGTGTTACTCAGGAGTTCTTTTCATCTATTTCCCTGTCTAGGATTGGTCCTAAACCCTAAATAGTTCAATCTAGGAGCAGAAAAATGTTTCTAAACCTTCCCAAATTAAGTTACTTTTGAATCTAAATCAAGTTAAAATGGACTTTTATAGATCTCCTTAGATTGCCTTATTTTAGGTGTGAGATAATGAATCTCAAGCGATTAAAAGAAGGATAGGCTCATGATTTGAGGAAGCCACAACACTAAAAAGGGGAGAAAATGTCTTTCTGCCGAAGAGTGTAAATAGATATTTTTGAGGGGGATTTATGAGAATCCAAGGTTCAAAGTATTGGAAATGCAAGGTGTATCGGAAAAGCAATTTTAAGGGACATATTGAGATACACTTTGGATACATATAGATACAAATGAAAAATCAAGATACGCGTGGATACACTAGCAAATTCAAATAAATCTTAAAAAATATACATTAATAACAACAAATATAAGTTTAATATGACTTTTAATAAGTTATTTACACATAAAAAGTCATGCTTTTAATGGTTTATATAAAGTCTGAGATATCGGGACACAATTTAACTATTAAAAAATGAGAGAACTAAAATCTATATGTACATACCTTAGCTTTCAGAAAATCAATATAATTTGTATTAATCTTTATTAGTATAAATTTTAATAATCAATTTTAGCATTTATCGACAAATATCCTAAGAAGATAAAGTTTGCTTAAGAATCAAAATGCATATAATTGTGACGAGCAATTACAATATGGCATAGTGGTTGACTTACGCCCTCTGTTAGTAGTCCTAGCTGGCTAATAACTTAAAAGGTGTATTGTCTTGACCGTGTAGCCGGCCAGAGATAAGTGGAAGAGAAGAGAAGAGAAGAGAAGAAGAAGAGAAGAGAAGAGAGGAGAGAAGAGAAGAAGAAGAGAAGAGAAGAGAGGAGAGAAGAGAGAAGGTTTGCAATGTAACAGTATTGGCGGCGCCAGTGTTTATTTTACTATATATAGGGCGACAAAAATAACAAGGGAAAAGACCCTTGTGCCCTTGAGTACAATAACAGACAACAGAAATAAAAAAACACTTTAATTAGCCAAACAGGCCCTAACATCTGCAACTAAGTTATTTTAACATTATTCCAACACTCCCCCTCAAGTTGAAGCATAAATGTCAATCATGCCCAACTTGTCAYACAAATCTTTGTGCCGCACATGGTGAAGACCTTTGGTGAAGATATCTGCAAGTTGCTCTTCCAAGCTGACATATGGTGTGCACACTTCTCCACTTTCAAGTTTCTCTCTAATAAAATGCTTGTCCACTTCAATGTGTTTCGTCCTATCACGCAGAACTGGATTAGCAGCAATATTGATGGCAGCTTTATTGTCACAGTAGAGTGACATAGGATTGCTTACTGCGAAACCCAGTTCACCTAACAGA